CCCCCAATACTCCGTGACAAGTAACGCCTCCCCTACCGGCGGTGACACTTCCTCACGTCGAGCTCCGGCCCGGGCGCTGGCTCAGGAAGCTGTGGCAGGATGTCACCCCTGCAGAGCAGCTCGCTCGCACGGCAGCGGGCGACCTGACCCGGGGAACAGAGACGGGGGCGGGGGGAGGATGGGGACGGGGCCCCGAGAGCTGGGGGAGGAGGGTTGGAGCCCGGCAGCTTTGAAGGGGAGTTGGGGAGATGCTCCATTGCCAGAGCCGGGGTGAGAACCCAGGAGTCCTGGCTCCCAGCCCCCCCTGCTCTGAGTGCTGTGGGACCGGGGCGTGGGGTGCTGACGCTGGCCTGGCTCGACTTCCCCAAACCGTCCGTCCGGGGGTGGCGACAGGCTTGGTGCAGCTGGGCCCAGAGACCCAGGGCTGGGACCTCGGTCGCAGGCCCAGGGGGGAGGGCAGGGGGTGTCACCCCGGCTCGGCCCCCAGATCCCTCCAGACCCCAGACTCCCTGGCCCGGCCTGGCCCAACCCGGCTTCGCTCCTGTCCTGCCCCTCGGCTCGGAAACCTCCCACCCTGCCCCCCACTCCTCCGCTGGGGGCTACTTCCTCCCTCCTCTTCTGCCTCCATTTCCCCCTCCCTGCCTCCCCTCCCCCATTTCCTCCTCACCTCCCCCTCCATCTCCACCCTCCCTGCATCCCCTCCCCCATTTCCCTTCCCCCTCCATCCCCTCCCCCCACCCTTCCATTCCCCCGACGCCACATCTCTCTGTGCCCCTCCCCCAGTCTGATACCCTGTGGGTACCGGCTGAGCCCCCCCACGCTGTTGAGGTTCTGGGCAGGGGCCAAGGGTTAAAACTCAGCGATTCTAGGTAACCAGAGGACGTCGTTGTCGTCCCCCCCTCCACCCGGCCCCAGGGGACGCTGGGTTGCAGGGAGTGGGGCAGGGGGCTCGGTAGGGGGCACCCTCCCCTGGCAGTCAGTGTGCTCTGTGACCATGACAGCCCCCTTCTGCCCCAGTGACCCCCACTTCCCCACCACAGCTCACCAGGACTCCTGGGTTCTCTCCCTAGCTCTGGGAAGGGAGTGGGGTCTAGTGGTTAGAGCAGGGGGGGCGGGAGCCAGG